TTTACCATGACCTAAGAATGGAAGCTGAAGGTCTGTCTCTCCTGAAGAAGCTGAGAATGGAGATTGTCCCCTCCCCAGGTGTGTCTAGCACAGGCTAAATCTGCACAGGTACATGTCCTGCCCTTGGTCTCACTTCCCTGCTGCTGCTTCTTTAAAAGCTTTCCTCTCCTTTCGAGATTTAAAAGATGGAACTTTTGAAATAAGTTTCCTCTACCTTCCTTTAAAGTTGTCTCTGAAGAAAACCTATTTTCCAATCAATTTGACTGTGAATATTTCTGGAGCAGTGGGCATTATTGTAGCCTAGCCTCTTCCCCAGCCTGGTAGCCCCAGCCATCTGTAGCACTAGAACAGAGCTGAAGGTAGAAGTTCACTAAAACACAATCACGACCCTTCAGATTCCTACTGCTTACTGGGGCAACAGAGAAGCAGATGGTCCTGCTGTGTGGAAAATGTGCTCTAAGAGGTTTTTGGAGGAAGAATGGGAGGACAGAAGAGGGTCACATAACCCCAAATTAGAAAGGAGTAGAGAAGATTTCCTGAAGGAGATGCTGCGTACACTGTGGGTTCACATACTTTGATGGTATGGAAACAGACTTAGGGGGAAGGCATGCTTACTGGCTGAGAATGTCAGAGGGCTTAGTGTGTTTAAAGATGTGCAGGGAATTCAAGGAACCATGAATGGATGCAGCTATGTAGAGATCTGCAGCTCCTGTTGGAGCCGTGGGCATATATCTGGTGGCAGTAGGAGATCAATATCATTCTTAGGAAATGTCATCCCTAGGAATGGAGCCCTGGAATGCATCCTCCTGTTGCCTCTGGCCAGTGTTCCTGCTGCCTGTGATATTGCACTTGTGGGCACCAAGATACTGTCAGGAACTGAGGCAAGCAGGACAGAGAATGAAAGGGCATGAGGAGAGAATGATCTGATTTGCAGCAGCTTTACCACCTACTCTCCCTCTTCCTATTGACTTCCAGCAATGATATGAAGGTGTAAAAGTAAAAGAAGTTTACTCAAGTCTGGGTTTGTGTAGCTTTTCCTTTCTTTTCTTCCATACCCTTCTCCCGTCCTTATGCTGCTTCAAGACTTTCTGTTTCCCTTTCATGCTTAACCTGAGTTGAAGCTTTTTACCTGGATACTGGGGACATTTAAGAATCCTCAAATCCTATTGGACAGTGGGTGCAGGGCAGCCACAGTTTAGCACCATCATTTTTAATCGGAGGGTCCAGTAGTTAAACAGCAGGGTCCAGTGGTTTCAGATATATGTCATCAGCATTCTTCACTTCATACTTATCCTATGTGCTTAAAACAGTATGTCCAAGTTTGGGGATGTAGCTCAGTGCGATGGTGCTTGCCTATTGTGCATGAGGCCCTGGGTTCCATTCTCAGAACTGAAAAAAAAATTCAAAAAAATACATAAAATATACTTAAGTAATAATAATTCTTACAGTTTTATTAAATATTTAATATAATTAGAGCTTCAAATGAAAGATATGGTTTATACTAGGCTTTTCTGATATTGGAATGAGGTGTTGAATTTCCTTATGGACACTCTGTAAATTTATGTTCTACAGGATGGACCTTGCTTCCTCCAGAATAAAATGAGATCATTTAAGATCTATCATTTAGTGAAGGTACAGTAGGTAGCCACTACAAATACAAAAAACAAAGCTGATGTATTGGAATTTTTACAGGCTTCTTTGAAAAAAAATCAAAGTACTTTTAATAAATAAATTTTTAACAATATTGGTTCCATGGCAATGTCCTGAGGGTTTGTGAAAAGACAGTGATACATTTTGAATGTTAGAAGCATGAGAGTGATGGGGTGAATTTCCTGAAGCTACATATTTCATGCATGCCTCTTTGGTTTCAATCTAAATCTAAAGAATGAGGCAGTTTGCAGGTGCTGATAGCTGCTGGGAAGGAAGGTACTCTGAAGAGAAGCCACCTGGTTACTTGGCTCTGGAGTTCTCTTTCGAATCAGAACTTGGACTGGCTTAGGGAGAACTGTAGTGTAACAGTCCGTCCTGGAAAACGTGGATTCACAGAAGTGTCCATATAGAGTAAGGAAATTCAACAGCTCATTCCAATATCTGAAAAGCCTAGTATAAATCATCTTTCATTAAAGCTCTTATTATATATATTCTTTGTCTCTTGATTTCAAAGAATGAAATCCATGGATAAAAGGGTGAGAGCAAAGTAACAGGATTTATTAGAGTAATGGAAAGAAAGAAAGCAGAGCTCCCAAAGGGATGGGGTCCCTAGAGAGGGTTGCTAACAGGTTTCTTTTGTCTAGGGGCTTAAATAAATCCATAGGGTTAAGGAAGTTAGTCCCTGACCCAATCTTCGGTGAGGAACTCACTGTCCATGAGCTCTTCATGAGCCTATTGGTCCAAACAAACTGGTAACTGAGCCCTTTTTTGGAGGGGTTCTCTGAACAAGGTAATGGCTGTCTCACTATTAGTTTTTCTACTTACATGGGAATGAGTCTGACCTTGATGAGACCTAGCTTCTGTCTGTGGTCTCTCAGCCTTGCTTCACAGAAACCTGACCTTGAAGGATTCCAAATTTCTTATCTGCCTATTCCAGCTTTTCTCCTACCACAGTAGGAATTGACGTGTGTGTGTGTGTGTGTGTGTGTGTGTGTGTGTGTGTGTGTTTTGTGTGTTTGAGTGAAAGATGAGGGGGGCGGTGGATTATGTTTCACAGACATGGAAAGATTTTGAGATTTTAAAGCATTTCCAGAGTTGTTAACTTCCCTGTATTCCCAAGAATTTTTGTTTGAAATTCATTTATCTTTTATTTTTTCCTGTTCAGGACCAAATCCTTCTGCTGGGCTCCCAGACCCTAGAGCCACAGAAACCACTGTCATTTTATGGTATTGACAAGGAGATCACCATTCACCTCACCCTGAAGATGGTGAAGCCCAGTGACAAGGAGCTACCTTTTGTTTGTGGTGGAGGCAAGAGATGAGGGGCAAAGGCACCTTCTGCAGGTGTGAAGGTCCAGCTCAGTAGCCCAGGTGAAAAAGATGATTGAGATTGTGTCTGGTATGATTCCTGAGACCCAGGTTGTGACTTGCAATGAAAAGAAACTGGAAGATGGGAAGATCATGGCGGATTATAGCATCAGATAGGGCAATTTACTCTTTCTGACATGCTATTGCATTGGGGAGTGATTATCTGTAGTTGAGCTGGTTACCTGGAGAAAAGAGTTTATTGTCTTAGCTCTTACTTAGCAACTACGTTTTTCATGATTTCCCAAAAATTAATGAGAATGAGAGAATAGAGGAAGATTTGGGGGTGCGAGGAGGGGAAGATAAAGAGTATTTTTCAATTCTGATTCTTTGATTCTACCATAATTGATAGCAGGATTGTTACTAAGAATAGAAAATGTTTTTTAGAGATAGCATTCAAAGATAACTTGACATTTATTCCTTTGAAATGCCATTTCCTTTCCAACAGGATAAGATATTAAGCTTAGGTTGTGATTCAGTTCTGTTTTTTTGTGTTTATATATTAAGCTCAGTGCGTCATCTGTAATATCACTCAATATTGGTGAACCAAAATAAATTTCCACTTATAGAGGGTATTAAAATGATTTATTATGAAATAACTTTTTACTCCAACATGATTGCAATCCAAATAATAATTTAGAATTCTCCTTTTCTTATTTAAAGTTGCTTGGTATGACATGTACAGCCAAAGGAATGAAAAGATGTGCTGTTTGTGTACAATGTACCAAAATGCATTCTACTGTCATCTATGACCTATTAGAACAAATAAAAAAAGAAGTGAGACCAGTAGAATTGAAGAAGAGGGTCTGGGGGAGGGAAGTGAGGAGGAGGAGAGGCACTGAGGAATAAAATTGATCAAATTATACAGTTTTATTGTGTGCATGTATGAATATATTATAACCCCCCCCCAAATAAAATTTGCTTGGTATAAAACGAAATCTGACACCATACTTCCTCTTCTCCATATCCCACACTCAATTAAAATTATATCTAGGGCTGGAAATGGAAAGATATTTTCCATGGGGATATAGATTTTGCATCTCTAGTGGATACTTCTTGTGGGTAGATGTGCTTCTGGAGGGAATGGGATTTTTGAAAGTCAGGGGATTGTTACCAGTGTTGGCTCTGTCAGCCTTAGGGTTTAGGTTGGGCATATGGCTCTGGATGGAGGAGACTAAGGCTTGGCTTCTGCCTTTACTCCAATGTTCTCTTCATCACTGGATTTCTGCTCCTCTCTTGGGAATTTGGGTTCCTTCCTACCTTTAATGTACTCCATTTCATTGTCTTTCTATTTTACTTATTTATTTTTATGTGGTGCTGAGGATGGAGCTCAGTGACTCACACACTGCTAGGCTAGCGCTCTCAATGAGCCACAACCCCAGCCCCCTCATTGTCTCTCATGTTTCACTTACTGGTCACTTGTAGGTTTTTCTTATAACCCCAAACAAATCTTCCTTCTCCATCAGTTCTGGTTCATTCTTTTCTTTTAAACTTGTTCAAGACCATCTCTTGTAGGAGAGTTTCTATGCGGTTAACCTGAATTTATTCAGCATAATTCCCTCAATTTATGGCTATTCCTCATAGCCTATGAGCCATGTGGGTACTGGCCACCTGAGCTGCTGTGGTGGGTACTGGCCACCTGACTAGATCTGCATTAGGTTGAGCTGGTTTCCCAAGAAGAGAGACCATGGTTCCTTTTTCTGGATGGGTAGGGCCTGTGCTTTCCTTGTTAACTTGAGAGATGCCTGATGGCAAAGCCCACAGAATCTTCCATAGTCTTCCATCAGACTGCCAGAAAACACTGTGTTGCTCATCATCTTAACTGCATGCGAAATTCTGACTATCTTCTAAGGATGGGGAAGCCCCATGCCCGCCATTATGGTTTCTTTCTTCATTGGTGTAGGAGAAAGCCTGAGTAGGGGGAGGGTTTCCCTGTGTGTGTGTGTGTGTGTGTGTGTGTGTGTGTGTGTGTTTGTGTGTGTTGGATATGAATATATATGATACAGGCATTTTCTCTGAAGAATTTGACCCTTATCTGATGAAACAACGCAACCTCCTCCCGTCCTTAGTCTCCCTAAGGACGAATCTTGAAAATTCTCATAAGAAAATGAACTGCCCCAAGACCAAAGCAACTGTCTACTGGGCATTTCCATCTGTAGGCTCTGGGCTAAACCTTTTTCCCCTTCCAAAGCCACTTAGTGCCTGGCTTGAGTTCTCCCCAGACTCCCCAGGAGCCTCCTGGCTGCCTCCTTCACTTCCTTATTCCGGAGAGTGTAGATGAGCGGGTTGAGGGCAGGGGTGACCACAGTGTAGAAGAGCGACACGAATTTGCCCCGCCCCTGGTTGTAGCTGTGCGTGGGCTGCAGGTAGGTATAGATAGCAGAACCATAGAACAGACAGACGGCTGTCAGGTGGGAGCCACACGTACCCACAGCTTTCCTCCGGCCTCCGCTGGACCGCATGCTCCATATGGCGTGGCCCACAGCGCCATAGGAGGCCAGGATGACGGTGGATGGCACCAGCAGTATAACCACGCGAGCGGCAAACATCTGGCGCTCTATGGTGTCTCTGCCGCCGCTGCAGGCCAGCTTGAGCAGCGCGGGGAGCTCGCAGATGAAGTGGTCCAGCTGGAGGGGTGCACAGAGCGGCCGCGAGGCCAAGAGCGCGGTTTGAGCGGCGGAGTTGCAGAGACCGCCCAGCCAGGAGGTGCTGGCCAACGCGCGGCAGAGGCGAGGCGAGGCGAGCCCCGCGTAACGCAGCGGGCGGCACACGGCGGCCGCGCGGTCCAGCGCCATCACCGCCAGCAGGACGCACTCAGAAGATCCCAGGGCCAGCGAGGCGCACAGCTGTGCCATGCAGCCGCCGCGGGGCAGCCTGAGCGCCGATCCCCGCAGGTTGATCAGCAGCGGGGGTACCACGCTGGTGGTGAAGCCGGCATCCACCAGGGCCAGGTGGCAAAGGAAGTAGTACATGGGCGTATGCAGACGCGGGTCGCGCATGACCAGCAGCACTAGCGCGCAGTTGCCGGTTAGAGTGAGCAGGTAGCAGAGGAGCACAAGGGTGAACAGGACTGGCTGCAGCGAGGGCCAGTCAGAGAATCCCAGCAGGAGGAATCGCTCCTCTGTGCTGTGGTTGGCCTAAAAGGAAAACTCCAACAATATTTGGAAGGACGAAATAAAGGGTGACACTACAAGTAAAGGAAAACCCGGGATGTGGGAATGGGGAAGAGGTGAAAGCATACAATAGTACTGATACATAATACTTTATGGATGGTAGTCCCATTTACAGACCTGAACCCTTAGTTTAGTTGCCATGTGCCAGCATTCCTTGTTTTATATATTTACAGCATCCTCTGGGGGAGCTAAAACGTCTATTTTATGAATGCACAAATGTGGGCTCAGAAATGCTCATTAAGTTGTCCTAGAGTTATATTGAGTCAGTGGCCTTGTGTGACTTGTACTCAGTCTTGTCTGATTTCCAACTCAGTGGTATTTTCAACTGCCTCCCAAGTTCTGGTTGCACTCCCAAGGACCAAGGAAGAAATCTGATCTTTCTTCTACATCAAAGCCTTTCACATTTGTGAAGACAGATTTCACTCTCAGCCTCCCTTTCCCTCTTTCCTGGTAATTCTGTAGTCCCTAAAAATTTATAGAATTTATAGATCAGAATTATCACCTTCCTTGCTTTAGGTGCTTCACTTTTATGGAGCTGGGGCCAGCTCCTAACAGCAGACAAAGGCTGTTAGATCTCAAAGTCTTGTTTGACTTGTTTGACACAAGTGAGACTTCATTAGAGCTATTTCTAGAAAATACCTAAAGAAAAAGAGAACTCAAATCCAATTACTTAGAACCAGATATATACCTAGGCTCTTTACAATAGGACAGATTTACTTCTCTGTTTGCCCTATTAAACTCTCCCTCTTGGGTTGCCTCTTTTGACTTTACTGAACTACTTCTGGACTGGAGCTGCCTTAATCATGAATAGCTGTTGAAATAAACTTTAAAATGTTCTTGTGCCTCAGTTTACTTTATTTCTGGTGGTGCTGGGGATGGAATCCAGGGCCTGGTGCATGAACTGTGTCCCCAGTTCATCAGTCTACTTTTTAACACAACCCATGATTCTGCTGACAAGTGATATCTATTCTGTTTTTAATAAAGTGCTTTACGGTTTCCCTGCCCCTCTTGCCGAAGAACCTGCATGTTAGCCTTGAAACCAAGGTTCAGTCTGTGGAGGAAAGAACACTTTTTGGTAGACCAGAAATTGGGAGGCCTTAGTCCTACCTACCATAGCTTCCTCTGGATGATTATTGGATATGGGGAAGTCACTTCATATCCCTCTGCTTCAATTTTATCACTTGTAAATTCAGGAGTTTGAACTAGATGACCCTTTAGGTTTCTGTCCTATCCTGAAGCTTTATTATCAAGCATTTCTCAAAGTAATGGAAAGGGAATGTGGGGAACAAAGGGATGTCCTCTCAGGGCATTTTGATCCTTGAGAATGATATCAAATTAAATACCGTAATGGTGCAGAAATGATCATGATTAATGAAATTTCCAAAGAAATCTTTCTACTGCATGTTTCCTGGCACATATTATGATTTAAATAAATTTGAAAAAAATTTTTGGTGGTGCTACTGGGAATTGACTTCAGGCTTTCACATATGCTGCCACTGAGCTACATCCCCAGCCCTAAATAACTTAATAAAATATCACATTCACTGCTTATAATTTGAAAATCATAATTGTCTTATTTTTTATTTTTTTAGGAAAAGAATTCATTTTCCCCAACAAAACATCTTGCTTATATGGTCCTCTCATTTTAGGCTCATTAGACAGAACAAATGTTAATGTTGTGAGTAAAAACAAGGGCTCAGGAGCTAGATTGCCTGGTTTTAGGTCTTGATTCTGCTGTTTCCTAGCTGAATAATAACCTTGGACATGTTATTTAACCTCTGTACCTCCCCGTCCTCCTCCACCCCCATTTTCTTATTGAAAAAAGTAGTGGGTGAAATAAGTTAAATTAAAAAAAACACTTAATATAGTGCCTGGCACATATTAGGATTTATCAAATGTTAATGAGTATTATTCTTATTTTACAAATCAGGAAGCAAATTTCTTTGTTTTTGGGCCTCAGACTTGTGAAGCACACATTTTAATACTGAATTACACCCTCCAACCAAAAACAACTTTTTAAAGGATTACCTCATTATATGGTTACAGAACTGATATTAAAATTCCATTTTCCTTTTATATATTAACTCTACTTTTCGTTTATTTGAAAAATAGTCCACAGTCTTATTTTATAGAAGACAGGAAGGTAATAAAAATTAAATAACTTATCCAAGGTCACATTGTTTGTAAATGTATAATAGGACTTTGACTATGATCTGACTAACACCAAGGTCTTTGCCTTTTTAAAAAATTATGCAAGGTGTGAACTCTATTTTTAGATAGTTTACAGAACTGGATCATACTGGGAATGGGTGAAGTATAGGACGTTACTTTTCAGGTTTCCGAGTCAATGGTGGCTAGAAATGTTGAGTTACAAAAAGTCAAATTCTTTAGAATTTTGATTACATAGCCATGCATTAGTTCAGTTAGGTAAGTCCTAAACTGCTCTTCTCCAAATATTTCACACGATGAACACAAGGCACACACTCATAAAATTGCACAGATAACATCCTTATTATATGTATGCACAAATTCCCAAATACAAAGCTCTAACACGTGTACACACAAATGCTTACATATACACACCATCATTCCTCTTATGTACTCAGAATGCAAATTGTAAAATTCATTGTATAACTTACCTGTAAAGCTCACTTGGCTTTCAAGAATATGTCTCTCAGCTGCAAAACCGTTTTCCCCCCACGGCAATATAATAACAACTCACCTTCATGTCTAAACTCTGGCCCCAATATTTAGACCTTGAGTTTTCAGATTATACTTTGGTCTCTTGTGCCTGGGTTTGAAATGAAAATGAAAGATTAACAAAAGACCCACTTGTATGATTCTGTAGATTTTTGAAATGAGTGCCTGAGGTGACAGCTAGGCACTTCAGGAAGGAGACAGGAGATGGGTGTCATCTTGCCTGGGAACAGAGGAACGTATAGAACATCTGGAAAGAAGGCACCTAAGTCTGTGAAACATGGACCCGGGGCAGAGGTGGTGATGTCTGTTAGTGCAGAGCCCTGTGGTGGGGTACAGACAGGGCAAAGGTTTGTGGTGGCAGCCAATCAGCATTAGCTGGTGGTGGTGGTGACAAAATTATCCTTCAGAAGTCTGAGGAATATAGCAGTTGGAGCAAGGGGAGGATGTTGATGAGTTCTCACTTGGGGGGAAACAGGGGACTCAGCTTTACCTGTTAGTTAGAAGAAATGCCAGAGCTCTGGGGAATCTGCATCCTACTCTCATCATTAGTGCTTTCATGGAGGTGTCCAGAGAGAAGTCCCCCAGGGTCAGGAAGGGGAAATTCTGCAGAGAAAGTCCCTTCAGGGTACTGTGTCTCTGGCAGGGTGTTGAGGCCAGAGGCAGAATAACTTCCTTTTAAGTTTTAACTAGTTTTTTTTTTGTTCTCTGACAAAGTGACTTTAAACTGGCGACTTATCTTCAGTGATTTACAGGCTCATCATCTATAAACCATGGAGAACAATGCTGACCTGCTAGAGATGTAGATTTGTTGAAATCATTCTCAGTTTTGAGTGCAGCTGTGACTTATGTCTTCAGCTTTTGCCTGCCACCCTCCTTGATGCTCTCACCTACATTTCATCCCCTTCACTGTACTTCTCTGGTCTCATTCTCTTTTACATTGTCTCCAGTAAGGCTTCCATACTGAAACTACATTTATTAATAGTTGCAAACGACCTCTGCATTGTTACACCCAGTGGTTAGATTTTTGTTCTAATATCTCATATCCTGAAAAAATCAGGACCATGTGATAGAGCAGGTCTTTCCTTTTTGGAACACAGTTTCTACTTGGGTTCAGCAATGGTGAAGCAGAGGCTGGCTATCTGGTGAGGGCCTTTACTCTCTGGCATTTCATGATGGAAAGCAAAAAGGGCAAGAGATGAACATGAGAGAGCAAGAGGGGTCCAAATTCATTTTGTAACAACCCACTCTTCTCACTCACTTCTGCAGTAATAACATTAATCCATTCATAAAGTCACAATCCTCATGACCCATCACCTCTTATTAAACCCTCCTTCCCAACATGGTTGCATTGAGGATTAAGTTTACAATACATGCTTTTACAGAGAACATACTGAAACCATAGTACCCCATTTGTAATCTGAGTATAATGCCTACCTTAATGCAAAGTTGCTGGGAGGATTGGAGATGATGTATGTAAAACTCCTGACACATAGTAGGACATAGGAAAACTCTTCAGCAAGAGTTGTGCTTCTGTATACTTCTATCATCCATGTACAGTGTAAATGTTTCCTGACAACTTTACAAAGTCAGGAAACACTAAACATTCTCATTCCAATAAAATATTTGCTCATTTGATTAGAAAAAATTTAATTCCATTTTATTTTTTGTTAATGTTGCACTGTATATATAGCTTTCAGCACCAAGAATATCTAAAATTCTATGCTTACCTGAGGTCAAAGGACCAGGCTTACCAAGCATACCTGTTTAAGCTCTTGTGTATTTGATCAGACTTGCCGTTTTATGTCTTGATTACTATTAAACCGCTAGGCATCCCCTCTTCTCCTTAAACACGCTAAACTCATACTATCTGTTTTTCTTCCTGGAATATTTTTCCCCTTTACTTGTCAAGGACTGTCCCCTTCTCACTTTTTAGAATACATCTCAAATAGGAGTGGAGGCTCAATCCTGGCTTAGGAGGGTATAAGAAGAAATGAAGCAGAAAAGTCATGGCAGGAAGGATCTGCAGGTGAGAAATGTTTGTGGATATTGGGAGGTATAGGTGGACTCTGTGTATGTTTCCTAAGGAAAAGTGTTAGCTTAGGGTTTTGCCAAGCCCAAAGGGAATTAGCAATAAATATTTATTATAATGAGAGAAAACCCATTAAATTATAGGACACTACAGTTAGTAAGACCCTTTATGCCCATTAACGTATTCCCTGCCCTGACTTCCACTTCCAAGTCTGGGAGAGGTAAAGACATTGTGG